ATTGAACAAAGCAGTTACACTGGTTCCAGAATTTATTAATTACGATGTGAGCAACGTCGACATGATTTATACAACTGATTGGCTATTTAGAATCTCTAAATTCACCAGTTTAATCACATGTAGTTTATCATCGTTTCATAGCATCACCCATTTTCAAGAAAAAAGAGCTCGTGAAGACCAGAGAAGATACTGCCTGAGCTCGAATTCAAATGTTGTACTAATACGATTCATTTTGCTTAGGTCGAACGGCAGAAACACTGGTTTTATTTTAGTATTTTTTTTTCAAACGAAAGTAAAGTTATTTGAAGAATGTATATCGTATAGTATATTTATTCTACTTAGTTCAGTTGATATAAAAAAATAATTGGTATATATAAAGTACCCATTGAATACTGCGGTATTCTTGTAAAATTTCGAGGTAAGTTTGTGTTTTTTCTATAGTGAAAAATTTTAGGAATCGTGTTTTCACACCGAATAGTAATCAGTGTATATTCTCAATTTTACTATTTATTTTTCCAAAGTGATTAAATCAATACATTCAATGTTATGCGAAATTAACCATAGCAATTTGAGGTAGCATAGACCTTATTTTGATATTTTTGACATAGTGTTACTAACACATCAGCCAATTCAAGTAAATTACTCGACATAGGCCTCTGACAAACATAGCTAGAATCGCCAGATCCAACAAATATATAATAATATGTATAAATGTCGTTATATAGCCGTAGAGCTCTTTGTGAAAGAGTGCATCCAGACAAGTACTGCCTCCTTACCTATTGTAATGTGAGTATAACTGCGTTCCAGTTTTAAAGGGTTAAGACTATATCTCAAAATGACGAGCACAATGTCAGTACCCGTCACATATCTGCGATTTAAAGTTTTGAGTGGCATTGCAACAGCTATCGACAGAGGTGTGTCACTTATGACCAGGCGCACGGCTTGTTTGTCCCGTCATTTTCTATGACAAAAAAATGTACGTATTTTTTTTTTAAATCACTTTAAACAATGCAGTTTTGCCTAGGGTTTTAATTTCCAGTTCAATGGCAGACGCTGCATTTTAATTATTATAGGATTTTATTAGACAGGATTTTTTAAAACAGGAAAGACGAGTATATATTCCGCTGCTGTCTCATAATAATATTCAACACGCCGGTTTCGCTTCCATCTATACACATAGCTGACTAAATGGATGCAATGTTAGGTCACTTTTACTATAATATAATACATTCAACTTATACATCGCAATCATTGACTTACAAATAAATGGACGACGGGTCTAATACAAAAACCACGAAAAAAATGTCCCAAGTCAACCTATTCGTAATTTAAATTGTAATGTCATCGCAGTATCGCGCTGTCAGTCGAACAAATGAAGACTAAAGCGGAGTTTGGCGCTCTGTATACGATTTTAGCGCCTTACAAGTGCGGACACTTTTTAGCGCGGACCCGACGACGTCCATATAATTGTAAGTCAATTATCGCAATACATATTCTGTAAGCCGCAATTAAATATGGCGTTATTGCAAAAAGTATTCGCATCACAATCTTTATGTATGTAAATGTTTATCCTACGACATTAGTGGAGGAAAACATAAAAGCAGTAGAATGCCTTGTGAAAGAGGTCGTCCATTTCTATTGCCAAGCTGTAATGTGAGCATTACTGCGTTCCGGTTTTGAATGGCAAGGGTGCTGGTGAAATTACTGGCACATGAGACTTGGCAAATAATGTCTCAGGGTGACAGGCACAGTGACAGTGTCCCTCAGATCTCTAAAGCTTTCAGTGGCACTACAGCTACTATGGACAGGCGTGTCACTTAACACAGGTTCACGATTCGTTCGTCCCTTCACTTGGTATCACAAAAAAATATGATTTCATGTAAATTTTATAACATATACGAAATGTCCTACAGTCTAAGGTTTATGATTAATTAATTGTATTGTCTTTGTTTTTGTTGTATTGCATATGAAATAAAATAGAAAACATAACTTTTTTATTAAAAAGAACCGACCTCAATAGTTCGTGAAATTACATCTGTTTGCCAAATTTTATTGAAATCGGTTACCGGAAAGTGCTCGAAATCGGATTCATCCCATAGTTTGCCACCCTCGGAGGTGGAATATTTTCTTCAAATTTCCAACAAAAAAAAATCATCAAAATCGATTTACAAATGCTGGAGTTAAATGTAACATACATAAAAAAAATTCAGTCGAATTGAGAACCTCCACCTTTTTCGAAGTCGGTTAAAAACTAGTGAAAATAGTGAAAACTCGTATAAGATCCTTTTAAAACCCCCTTATACATGGATATCTAAAAATAATTTGGAAAGTACCAAATCATTATAATTGATGGAAAGTTAACGTTAAACAAACGCCGCATAAACAAACGAGTTAATTATCATAAGTCATATCAACACATAACACGAGACTGTCGGATTCAAAATAAACTTTTGTATAATACATGTCTTGTATACGAATTGCTCGACTATACAATGAGTCGTATAGTGGCTAAGTATACAGAGTGAAATTTTATTCATTCGACACACTTTAGAGGACGAGTACTACATTCTAAGCAATACGAAGAACTTTATTATGGCTATACCTTTCACAATGCGAAAACTAATTAACAGTTGTGCCGTATTTTTAAATTTAACATTTTTATGGACTATCTGTTCTTCGCAGTAAATAAGTAATAGGAGTTATTTTTCAAAATTTCTGTAAGTGATAGGTAATTCATATTTTAAAATTTAGACGCTTTTAAAACATGGCTTTACCATGTTAAAAAGCACGTAATGGTAAAAGACATTAAGTCCTATCGTCGTTTGTTTTTTACTTAACATATTTTATTCGACTTTCAGATTAATTTTAAATGCCCAATTAAAACGCTCGGCAATGAAAATTACTATTAGGCACTTAAGAGTTTAAACTTCCTCAAATGGCTTTTAATTGATTCCACATAACAGTGAAATTGTTGAATCAATCACTATGGAAAAAATGAACTACATACGGTGCGATAACACGATTTTTAAAAATTTTCACGAAAGTAAAAATCACACCTACCTCGAAATTTTACAAGAAAACCTCTGTATTCAGTGGGTACTTTACACATACCAATGATATATTTTTTACATCAACTAAACTAAATAAAATACGTATACTGTACGACACACGTAATTCAAATGGCTCTAATTTCGGTTGTAAAAAAATAAATTCTGAAATAAAGCCCTGTGTGTCCCTGCCGCTCGACCTAACCGCTCACGTGATGCGCTCCTCCTACCTACAAAATGGCGGCTATTTGGTTTCGCAAATTAGAAAAGCATTCGGTTTAAATACAAGTTTTTATAAAATTATTATTCTGCATTGCTAAATAAATACCCTCCGTACTACCAACAAAAACATCTTCATCATCAAATAAAATGCAGTAATACACCGCAAATCCTGCACTTAAAAAGCACTAATGAAATTTTTGGTGTACTTGGATAAATATGATAATATTCCGTTTGAGTGGTTCTAACGTTTACCATTAAATTACTCCTTCAAGTATAGTTTATAAACATTTATATTCAGGGTAAACTTAAAAAAAAAAGGGGTAAACTTAAAAAACGCTACTTACGGTATGTTTTCAATAAATAAACACCGAAATCACCAGCCCAAAAAATAACACACACGATTGTCGTGACGTATTTTTGAAGTTGTTTATTTTTTTTAAATGACAGACCCACGCATTAAAAACTTCATGGTTTGCTAGAGTAGTTACCGAAATAGCAATTAATATTAGTTCTTTTACCTGTTATGACTTCGATATCCGATAAATCGGTATAAAATCATTACCGGCACCTCTAGGTGTAGTATGCGTCTACGGCTGCATGTATCGCGTGAGCGAAGCAAAATGAAACATATTAGTACAGAAAAGTTTAGAATTCGAGCTGAGATAATATCGAATTTTTAAGGTTCTTTACCTCTCACCTACAAATTTGTTAACCGAGTTGAACAGCCTGTATACGTAATCCAATCACATCTTTCTGTGGCCTGTTTCCGTCCTTGGGTCCCTTGAGTTATTAAGCCGGGACCCTTACAATAACCTTTGCGGAGCTACTCAGCGAACCGCGACGGCAATTCTTACACTCCATTTTAAACTGACCTCTAGTTTACCTTTCATAAACACGTCCAACAAGGCCTAATTAAAATGGATATTCATCAAACCAATTAGATGCCACCCGAAAATAACACACGGTGTACCGCGTTCGAACGCAACGGTTGTGTACAGTGCAAAGGTAGTTGTGTATAGATGCTATTGATGGTTTCGAGCGTTGATGGAGCATTGAATGCGGACAATGGATGGAAACATTCGCGAAAATGAAACAAGGAACCATTAGAAATGAAAAGTAACACCGGATAGGAAGTTTCCCTTTCTGTTTGAATACTTATACACAAATATAAGTTTGAGTAACAGCTGTATTTGTTTATGTTTGTGAAACTGCTAGACAGCAGCGTCGATTCGGGTAAATGCAAACTTAATTTAACTTCAATGTATCTCTATGGTTTACAGTGTCATTTTGTAGATTATCAATTTTGGACAGCTCCTTACAAATTTATTCATGTCACGAGTACATGCCACCTAAGCACCTAAGGTAATAAACATATTTTCTCTTTTGTCATTAAATGTAAAATGAAGTGTGTTACTTCTCATGATGACTGTACATTTTATTCTGTCCTGATTTTCTTCAATCCTGAACAGAAGTCCCAAAATTTTGAACCTAACTGATAGCTTAATGTTTGGTTAAAAACAGTTTTTAACAATCGATAGCACTTAATGATTAGTTTAAAGGCGTCGACTAATTTCACAGCTTTAAGTAATAAAAAGGCATATGCACTGAACGTATATAAATATAAAAACTTATTTAAACACCGACTAAGTTAGATAAACAAGACACGCAACCGCATTATCCACGTCGCGGAACTTCCTACATAACAAACTGAACAATGCTTCTTTGTTACAGAATCACGGATGGGGTCAAGATGACAAGAAAGTTTCTCTTCTGTTTCCCCTTAAGGCTGGGGAACATTATCTTTGGTTACATTGTTATAGTAAGTGCCTTTGTACTATAAGCAACTTAGTCGAAATTGAGATTCTTGAAAACGCCTACACAAACATTGTCTGCAAATTATTTACTGGTTTACTTTGCTAAAATAATTTTGTCAGGTGCTTCAACTTTGTCGAGTGGTTTTGTTATATACATGTACACGAAAATTTCCGTTTTGTTTCCAGATTGTAGCAATTGCAGTAATGGCGTTTAATTTATATCGATTTGGTTTGAGCATGGTATCAAATAAAAACGAATTCGACGAGAAGTTCCGAAATTTCGAGAAAGTGGACAATATCTTTGGGCCGAACAAGAAAGAGCTGGTAGCTCTGATTGCTCTGTTGTACTATGGGAGCTACATGATAGTAGCATTTTTATTGTTCGTGTTTGCTGCTTTATTTACTTGTGGCGCTTACAAAGTAAGTATACCTATAATTTTACTTTAACATTTTTGATTTATATACTTAAAGACGTAGCGTTGGGGGTGTAGAGGGGCCAACAAATTTAAGGTTGACCCCGGCCAGTAGAAACACCACTGCTTAACGGTAGGCGTACCAAGCGTGACGATTATAACAAATCGTTATATTTTTAGGGGAGATCTATATTCATCAATTGGAATATAGATTGACGTGATAATTGATCCACTTATTATTAGAAATTCAAAACCTGAGATTGTTACTAGAGTATATCGTCAACAAAAAAAAATACATATATTTTTAATATTTTATAAGTATCTATATTTTATTGTGCATAAAATCAATAAATGATCATTCAATCATTTTATGGTCTTTACAGTTTTTGTAAAAAGTTCTGCGAACGTAAAAATTTGACAATACCTAGTTCATTTCATGTAGTTCGTGTTATTTTGACTTTCGTGTTATAAAAATCACTTTCGATGCATGTATCACATGTGGTTTTATTATACCAAAGGTACGATGTATTATTTTTAGGCGTTTTGTAACTTATGATGGCCTTTTAAAATGGCCTTCCATGTCACAATTTTAAAGCCAATGCATAATCTTTCAGGCGAACAATTGTCTGATATCGACGTTCTTCGGCTACAGCTTCATCCACCTGTTCCTGACCGTGGGGCTTATTGTATGGGAAGCGATCACGGCGGGATGGATTGAACTGGGGCTGATTGTGGCCGCTGATTGTGAGTATACAATTAATATTAATAAATTAAAAACCTACTTTTAGGCACGTTGTCAACGCTCCAATTCGCTTGTCAAATTTACCTGTAGTTTATACTCGGCCATATCCTGGTATAGTCTAGTCGTACCGTAATACAATGATTATTTATTTATTTAAACTTTATTGGACAATCTACTGAAGTACAAATGGTGGACTTGGTGCCATAAGGCATTCTCTACCAGTCAACCATCGGGCCAAACAGAAAAAAACACACACTTTAACAAGAAGAACAATATACTAGAAGCCAATTGATAATTTGTATGGTATAAATAAATAACATAATATAAACATTTATACATACATAATTATTTTAAATATATATAATAAATTAAATTATAGTAATAACTAATAATAACTAAATTTTTTTTTTCATATTTATTTTGTGATGATTGATTGGTGATATTGATTTGTTATTAAGCATTTTCTATACACAAACAGAAAGGTAAGGGTCACCCAATAGTATTACGCAGTGTTTCTTTTGCAAATTTTTGAGAGTGATTTTACCCATGAAAAAAAAAAGCAATTGAGGCTATCAGTGCCAGTGGTGTAACCCTATGAAATGCATAAACAGAAGATGATGAATGAGGGATTTAAAATTAGCCAAATTAATTTTACATAATAGTAATCGTATATGACCTATACAGTAACAATATTTCATTTTTTTATGCATGAAAATAGCATCCAAATATAAAGTAATTACTTATTTCAGTACCATTTAAAATAATACTGTCAAAAATATTGTAATAAAAATCCTCAATGAGAAAATATGTCAGAGTCAAATATTCAATACATTACAAAATAAATTTTTAGGAAGTAACTGAAATACAAATACAAAATATGTATTTAATTTACCTACGTAGCATAAATGACCTATACAGTAATAATATTTAATTTAACATTTTTTTGTATATGGAAATAGCATCCAAATATGAAATTATTATGTACAAATGTAGAAAAAAAAAACCTCAATTGGAAACTACTTTAATGTCAGATATTCGAAATGCATAATGCATTTTTAAGAAGTAATTTAATTACAAATATAAAATGTGTATTTGTATTTCACATACGTTTTACAAATAATTCAAATATTGTCCAGCCTTGACCACTACGAACAAGGTTTGAACTTCGCGCACAAGAGTCATTTTAATACCTTACAACTATTACAAAAAAAAAGTGTATACACAATTGGATCAATATGATGGATTATGGTGTATATATATCCTTGTATGCTCCTAGCCCAGCGCCTAGTATGACGTTTATAAATGACACGGGTCAGTATATGACAAAATCGATATCATATTGCCCACTTATAGACATTGAAGGCAGCCACTACGACAAAATTTATCGACATGGTTTTAGTTCAACTATGTATTTGTGGCATAACTATAATACTAAAAGTTTGTGATTCTATTTAATGATATCAAAATGTCGAAGAAGATATATTATATGGAAATTTCTCTATGAGTATACATGTAGGTACAAACAGGGGCTTATATTCATCGATTTGTAGGAAATCTAAATCAATACTCAAAACAAATGTTGTAGTTATTATTACTTGTACAAAGATTGAACAAACATAAAGAAAAATTCTTTCAAGCCGTCCACTCGGATTCATGATGTTTTTGTTACATGTCATCATGTCTTCACTACAGTGCTATTCATCTATTATGTCAAAACACTCCACGTAAAAATTATAATTCCAAATTGTAAACAAAGAAATGTCATGAAATATCATTGTTAAAAGTGTAAAATTAGGTGTGCCAAACCTTATATTTTAACGGAATTGAAAAAGCCGAGGGTCTCATTTTCTACAATTTTAATTATCTATTACAAAATATTAAGCAATGTTGTTAGTTGTTACTTAACAAACTTACTATTTAAAATGTAGGTTTTTGTTCGATTATCCACATTGTTTTCATTTTGGACATCTAATTAAGATTTACACTGCAGTTTATTATTTTAAGTAGCAGTGGAGAACGAATTCGTCCAGGGAAGTACCTAACCTATTTCTGCCGCTAAACATTAACAAGTGAGACCATTGCTGCGTTCCGGATTCGAAGGGTAAGGGTACTGATGAATTTACAGGCACATGGGACTTGTTAACTTGCGTCTCACAGTGTCGGGTGCAGTGGCAGTGCCTCTCAGATCTTTGTAAATTATGCAGCTGTTATGGACAGGCGTGTAGCTTACCATCAGGCGTATGACTTGTTCGTCCCGTCGCTTAGTTTTTATAAAAGTAAAAATAAAATATTGACGAAAGGTCAGCCCAATCGTGTTGAAGGTATTTTTCTTTGCATTTGTTCGATTTTTGCATCAATAATAATAACAAAGTACTTAGTGGAATATTCTGACTTAAAATAGATGAATATCATGGTAATAAAAGCATCATGATTTTCAATAAAAATAATATTGTTTTTGTGTCAAATTTTAGATAAATGAATAAGCGTGATCGCCTAACAAAGGAAAAACTCTTAGTTTATGTTAGCAACCCTCCCATTATACACATTGGTTTGTTTTTGCAGAAAACATAAAGGCAGAAAAAGTTTTATTAATACAAAGATCGAACACTTAGGTAGCTATAAAGGTATCTAACTGGGTGACGAAATACTTTCATAAATTTCTCATTGATGGCGTTACGGCTAAAAAGTCGTTGAAAACTAAAATTCGACAACATGCACATAGAAAAATTCGTGAGGTCCGTTGCGCTGGTTCGTTCCGTGTCTTAGCTGGCATAGCGGCTGGTACGGTTTGCTAGGAGACGTCGGTTCGAATCCGGCCGGATCGAGGGAATTTTTTCTAAGTGTTCCATCTTTGTATTAATAATTATTAAAATCTAAGTATTTTACAAATACTTATGTGCTAAATGGATAAGTAAAGAAAGGCTTCTTTCTAAGGTATGTCTGTTTGGTTACACAGTGAGAAAAAATAAATTGTGTGAAATTTACATTACGCAATGTAAGACAAACGGGCACAAACATTATATTTAGAAACGAAATGTTGAATCTGGTAGATACAGTTGCATTTCTACGTATAACTTTACATGCCAAATTGCAATGAGGTCGACAAATAAATAAATTATCAAAACGCCTCAGCTCTGCAGTGTACGCGATTAAAAAAAACGAAAACTTTCAGACGTCGAAATACGTAGATTGTTTTACTTTAGCTACTTTCAGAGTTAATGACATACGGCATTTTGCTTTGGGGTATAATGCCACCGATATTTATAGAATCTTTATCCTGCAGAAACTTGCGTGTAGGACAATTGACAAACTGGGCCCCAAAGTGTCTTTGAAATATAAGTTTAAAGAGATTAACATTCTTACACTAACGTCACAGTATATTTATGAAAATGTTATTTATATTGAGATTTTTTTTATAAATATTAGTGACAGACATAAAATAATACTAGGAATAAAAATAGACTAGCTGTTCTTGACAGTCATCTTCATAAAGTCATAAATTCATTTAAGGGGCAATGTATACGCTTCTTTAGTAAGATTCCGATTGATATTAGAGTACTTCTGCTACCTTACCTATTTATGCCGCCAAGCAGTAATGTCAGCATTACTGTGTTCTGGTTTTGAAGGGTAAGGGTGCTGGTGAAATTACAGGCACATGGGACTATCTTAGGGTGACCGTACAGTAGCAGTGCCCCTCAGATCTTGCAATTTAAAGCTCTGAGCGGCACTGTAACTGTTATGGACAGGCGTGTAGCTTATCATCAAGTCTTATTCGTCCCGTCACTTCATGTTATAAAAAAAATAAATTCAAATGCATATTTACAAAGAGCAACCCCTAGATTTTCCTACTCATACTTCCCAGGGGAATCCGCCTTATTAATGAGCAGTAGAGTTTAATCAGTATGACGATTTCAAGTGTAATTTGCTTACCTATGAAATAAAGATTATTTGACTTTGTCCTTGACTTTGAGTGCGTTGAGTTTGCATGTAGTGTCTAAAATGAAAAGAACGGGTGTAAAAAACGTGAACTAATTTCTTACGTGTCAGTATGCTTTGCAGTGTGAAACTACGAACCCCTATCATCTTCATCTCTCTCATTATACGTTTTCTAGGAAACGTCCTTACTTTTCCTGATTCCTGAAAGAGTTCCAACTAATATTTACTATAATATTAGTATCTAAATTACTTAAATTTGCTATTGTAAGCTATTTCTCGTACTTTGACAATTTACTCACTTTCCAAGTCTGATCTCCCGATCTTGGGCATATTCTATCGTACTGATAGTACCTCCGAATTTTGCTATTCGTTTTTCCAATGCTAATTAAGATAAGATAAGATAAGATAATTTTATTTCAATATGACTTAATCTAATACAATTATAATGAAAACAATGTAATGAAGATAAAATATTAAAATAAACAGTAATAAACAAAACAAAAAAATCTAAATTATATAAAATAATCATGGTAAAATTAAACATTTTAATCTTAGTGCCTAATAGTGCAATTGCGATGCCTAAACTAAGTACATGTGTACCTGTATTTTAGGCATCTACAATTACGTACTATTTCATCAATTTCACATTATAAACATATTTATCTTCTTCTTCTTTTAAATGTTATGGCTCCATCGAAATAATCAATGATTTTGCCAATGTCAAGTAAAAATGACTATGTACGGTAGTTTAATATTATTATAAAAATTATACAAAAAAAATGGCGATTGCGCCAATATCCTGTGAGAATAATCAAACATATTCATTTCGTATTTTATATTTTTATATGTTGACATTGATTGACAGATATGTTACCCCTCTACAATCTATTCTTCCATAGATTATCCTATAAATTACTCTTCCTTTGGTATGCAATCTTAGCAGTAGAAGCGTTTCCGCTTCTGGATGCTCACATTTTGGCTCCTCGTTTTAAATTCCAAATTGGATATTCGAATTTCGATGCCCACTCTCGCTCTACCAAACGCTCGTCATTCTCGTACTGACCTT